GGAAAGACACAAGTGCCTCACAATAAGATGCCCTCCTACACAATCATTCCACAGACAGACCCCAGGCTTTCACAGCAAAATGCAGCTCAAATCCATTTGGGGCTGGATTTGGTTTGTCTGACACACAATTCTTCAGGAAATTGACGTTGAGCAGAATTTCACTGATTTTGTGGCAGGCTAAAATCCAGGGAGTTGGTTCAACTCCTGGGGTCAGGAGAGACCTCTCTGTGTCTCAGTAACATAAGATATGGTGGCCTCTCAACTACAAACTCTTCTGGGGAACATCGGAGCCTTCTGAGATGGAAAAACAAGCTGTTTGAAATGTGTTTTAAAACTGCTATACAAGTTCTCAGAGAAACCACATGCTAATGTTTGTACAGGCAAATGAAATATTTAGGGGTTTACAGGCCAGTACTGCCCCTCTGAGGGCCAGCATGCAGGCAGACACGAATGCCGTTGCATAGACTGTTCCCCCTCCCCTCCATCTTCAACACGCAGCTCAGACGTCACCTCCTTCAGGCAGACTGCCCTGACTCCTGCCCCCATCCAGTGTGTGCTGGTGCCCTTTCTGTGATCCCCACAATGTCCTGCTGCTCCGCTGGCCTCAGCTACACTTTCTTCTCCTGACCACCCTCTCGCATAATTGTCTACCCAATGACTCAGCCGACTTTCTCACTGCCCCATCATCATTCTGAAGGCAGGGACTGTGCGTCCCATTTCATGTAGCAGTGCCTGGCACGTGGTAGGTGTGTGGAACCAGTAAGCATTTCTATATATGTTCACACCTACTCCGTGTGTGTGTGTGTGAAGATAACAGTTGCGTATCACATTTTCAATTTGTTTTCCTGGGTCACTGTCCCATGTGTGCATTGCTCAAGGCTTTGAAGATGAAGTTCTGCAAAGAATACGGATTAGATTCAGTCTTTGAACACTGTCAAAATTATGTAAATGCCACCAACCACATCAAGTATAAAATCCTAAAATATTCAACAAACAGACTTGTTGCCACATTTTTTCCCTTTTAACTAAATCTGAAGAAAACGCGATCGCAGTGTGCGAGTTGTGAAGATATAAGTCTCTAATCTGCATGATTCCGAGATGAACCATATGCTCAAGGAATGAATGGCCCCTATGTTCTCTAAACGTTCTTTTTAGTAGTTTATATCATTGAGATTTTTCTGGTCAATGTTGTAAAATTCGAGCAAATTTTAAATCAAAATAAAATTTTAGATTAATTTTAAAGAATTAAAATTCTCCATCTAAAATAGCTGGTCATTTCCTAGACTTGCCTGACTATTAATATAAATATTTTAATAAAGGCGATTTAAGCCAAACGCTAGGAGTCTGAATGAAGGTGAAGAGGCAGTGTGGGGGGCGGGTAGTAGTGGGGAGGCGCTGTTTGGGTTCTAAGTGCACTTCTTATACAGGCTCTACAACCAATAACATCTTACTGTCCTCACTCTGTGGACTTAGTTTTCTCATCTGTAAAATGAGAGGGTCAGATGAGATAACATTTAAGGTTCCTTTATGCCTTGTGATTTTAGGATGGTGGATGTTTTCTTACGGCTGTTATTTACGGCATGTGGAAAAGTTAGGAAGATCTGACTGTGGTCTTGAGAGAGATTTTACACTGACAGATCTGAGTTTTAGCCTCTACTGCTCCTCTAGTCCCGGGTGGCTTCAGAGAGAGGCACTTACCCTCCAACTAACAGACCTGTCTGTAAAATGGTCAGGCGAAACAAGAGCAGTGATTTTCAAATTCAGATGAGCATCAGGAGAGCAGAGCTTCTTATAGCACAGATGCTGGGCTCATCTCCACCCAGTTTCTGTCTCAGGAGGTCTGGGCTGGGGCTTGAGAATCTGCATTTCTAACAAGTCCAGGTGATACTGATGCTGCCCTTGGAGAACCACTGAACCTACTTTCCAACTCTAAGAATCTATGGTGAGTTATAAAAACTTTACTAACTACTGTATTTTTAATGAGCTACCACTACCTTTAATGAGCTTCACAGCATACCAAGAGGGAGTTTCCTTTTTCATGGGGGTTCCAAACACTGCAAAAATAATTTCAGGGGGGCACACAGAATCACTCTTATACCTCAATCGCCATGTTCAACATTTGGCCTCTTAGAATCAAAACACTCAAAGTTCACAAAACCTCAAATAATTTAATTAATTGGTTGACTGGCTCAGTATCACGTTATCAGGTTTGCTGACTAGGAAGAAAGCATAGCTCCATTCACACTGAGTTCACTAATGCAGAGAACGAAGGGTCAGACTCCAGAATGCCAAAAATTCTTGATTCTAAGAAAGTTCAACTCCTAAACTCACTGTAGGCTAAAAGCAATTTTTAAAAATAAAATCATCTATATCACTAGATTTCAAAATTGGTGACGCTGTAATTACTTGTGGGGTTGTAAAAAATATGGTTGCTTGGGCCATGTCTCCAGGGGTTCTGATTCACCTTCAGCATTAGGGTTTTTAATAGTTCCACACTTCCCCTGTGAAGCGAAGTCTGAGACTCACCAATCTATGAAGCAATAGAACCAATCTATTCTTCATTACTTTGAGCTCCACAAACTATTTTTGTCACTACAAACAACATGACCATTTGTCTTAAATGATACTTGAGAATAAACACTGAAATTTTGATAAGCCCACAACGGGTCACAAACACGTGGGCAATCAAGCAGTATTTCTTAGCTATATTAAAGCATCTTTCACATAGTTAAATAAATACTTTGTAGCAAGACTTCCCCTACAGTGTACATACAATTTCTGCT